GTCAAACATCAATGAATGAGAATGTACAATCCAATTACATTAAAAAAAAAGCCTAAATCATTGAGGACAACAATCCAATATAATACTGTTCGTATAAATGTCTATTCACAAATATATATAGTTAATATATATACTTTAGGTACTTATACCCAAGGAAATTTGACAGAACTTTCCTTGTAAGTAAATGTTTGATATGGAAATATATTTAAATATAAATTATATTAGCATCTTTATTTTTTAATGTTGTTTTAAAGTTTTAAAATACTTTTTCTGCATAACTATCTCAGAGTTTACTAAAATATTTTAGGCTGCGTCCTGAACAGATTTTTTTCAACTTAGGATACAAATGATTTAATGTTATCTATAGCCTCCTTTTTTAAACATTTATTTTTTTGAGATATGATTGACACATAACATTGTGTAAGTTTAGGGTATACAATGTGTTGATTTGATACACTTATATATTGTGATGAGATTGCCAACAGAAAGTTAGCTAACACCTCTGTCTCGTCATGTAATTAGCATTTCTTTTTTGTAGAGGGGTTAAATAAGATCTAGTCTCTTAGCAACTTTGAAGTTTATAATAGAGTAGTGTTGTCTATAATCACTATGCTGCCAGTTAGATTTCCAGGAATTATTTATCTACTGGTTGCAAGTTTGTATACCTAAAAAACATCTCTCCATTCCTCCATCCGATCAGCCCCAGCGGCTACCATTCTATTCTGTTTTTGCAAGTTAGACTTTTGTAGATTCCACATATAAGTGATATCATAGAGTATTTGTCTTTCTCTCTTTGATTTATCTCACTAGGCATGATGCCCTCAAGGTCAATCCATGTTGTCAAAAATGGCAGAATTCCTTTCTTTCTCATGGCTGAATAATAGTCCATTGTCTACCTATACCACGTTATCCATTCATCTGCTGATGGGCACTTACATCATTTCCATATCTATTGCTGTTGTAAACAATGGTGCAATAAACATGGATGTGCAGATATTTCTTCTATATTCTGTTCTCATTTCCTTTAGGTATATACCCAGCCCTGGAACTGCTGGATAACAATCCTTAAGAAGGATAGTCTTCTTTACTTTGTATTCTTTGATGCACATTTCTGGATATAGATACAGGTATATGATCCCAAAAGTATTATGTGCATACTTGTTCTAAACTTTGTCTATACTATCTTAGGATATTTCAAAATGACACACATATATGAATGATTCACTCATTGTTATCAAATGTGTATAAGTGAATTCTCTACATAATAAAATATTCCAGACTACGGAATGACTACTACCTACAATAATACATTGGGGTTTTAGTTCCATTGTATGTTTTCAACCACTTTCTTAATAGCAAGTACCCTTCCTCCTTTGATAGTATCTTTGCAACTATTCAGTGAATGTAGCCTTATAGCCTGACTGGTGAGAATTGGTCCATAGGCCTAAAAAAAATGCTCGGTTTTTAAAGAAAGGACCAAAAATAGAAATGAATATATTTAAACTTTAAAAATAACCATACATTTAATTATTTTCAAATAAATTCAAATGCAAAATAGATTAAGAAATATAGTTAGGTTTATTAAAGATGAGACATAAGCTTTTTAATAAAAACTATTCAAAATCTCAGAATTGCTTAGGATGCATTATTCAAAATCATCCTTTAACCCCACCTTAGAATCAGACATCTTTTGGAATAGATACCGGCTCTACCATTTCAAGTCAAATAAGTTTCTACATTCTCTGTGAGAGAGAACATATTTAACAAGCTTTGGCTCTGAGAGCTAAAGAAAGAGGTGATATCAGATAACTGTCTAAATTATCAGTATATCAATGGGCTGTTCTTTTGACCCCTCCCCTTCTCACTCTACATTCCTAACTTCCTTGGAAAGAAAGAAATAAAGCAAACAAACAAGCACATAAGATGTCTGTGTGGGTTGGAGAAATGAGAGGAGTATTAGAGTTTGGTTTTTTTTAATGTTTTATTTATTTCTAGGAGAGAGAGAGAGAGAGACAGCGTGAGCAGGGGAGGGTCAGAGAGAGAGGGAGTCACAGACTGAAACAGGTTCCAGGCTCCGAGCTGGCAGTCAGCACAGAGCCCGACGCGGGGCTCGAACCCACGAACCGCGAGATCATGACCTAAGCGAAAGTCGGACGCTTAACCGACTAAGCCACCCAGGCGCCCCAAGGGTATTAGAGTATTAATCTCTCTGTTTGGCATCACCATCTTACAAAATAACATTCTCCAGTTTTAGATGATGTCTCAACTGTTTTGTTGTCTATTAAAAAAAAACCATTTTTTGTCCAATGACAATAAATGAAATACGTGATTGTTGAATAACATTATTTAAACAGAGAAACATTGTCCCAAAATCTACTTTCAGTGAAAACTACTCTGTTTTGTTATATAGATATAATAAAGAGTCTTTATTATTTTCTTTCTGACATTATTTATGCTTTCTCTGGTAAGGGGGCCATTATTTTCTTTGCAGAAATCAACCCAATACATGGGTGGGCTCGTTTCTGATCCACTTGTCAATCAAAATATTTCAAAAATTATTTATTATTGCTTTTACATACATTTCTATATTCGCTAGTGAGGATGAACATATCCTCATGTGTGTATTTCCTTTTGTGACGATTCAGTTAATGTAATTTGACCAATTTACTGTTTGATATCAGATATTAAAATTTAATTTATGAACACTTTTAAAAGTATATTCATCTCAGCCTGTGTCCTTTTAGTTTTTTTTAAACACAAACTGTATTGTTTTTCAAATAGTCAAAGCTATTACTCTTCAGTCGATGGTATCTTATTCTGCAAATATTTTTAATTTCCTATATATTTTTATTATTAGTTATTTTTAAAACTTTTGTTCTTCAATTCTGGTTCCTTTTTTTTTTAAATATGAATTTGTGTTTTTGAACAAACTTTTCACATTTTCTAAAAAATGATCTATACTTTCTGCAAAAAGTTGAAGCAATGTGAAAAAAATAAAACAACAGAAAGTTCACTGCAGCACACATTACACCACCAAGAAAAATGCAATGTTAGGATTGCATGAACATTATTATGTAAACATCTCAGGTGGAAGTTTTGATGGATTCATAGATTGATACATGGATGACAGAAAGATATTGGCTTTATAGGAATGGGATTAGGGAATGGTTTATCTTTTTCCATTTCTTTACCTTTAATATGTTTCTCTAAATTTAGAGTGTATTTTCTAAAGAAAGCATATGATTATGCCTTTTTAATTTTCATCCTTTCTTAACTATCTGTGCCTTTTAATAGAAGTGTTAAAATCCTTATATTTTATATAAAATTATTTTTATTATATATATAATAAAAATATATATTATATATTTATTATTTTATTATAAAATCTTTAAATTTTATCTATTTATCCTGATAGAGAGTGAGCAGGAGAGAGGTGGGGGGATGGGGGGGAGAGAGAGAATCCCAAGCAGGCTTCCCACAATCAGCACAGAGCTCCAGGTGAGGCTGGAACTCATGAACCAAGAGATCACGACCTGAGCTGAAACCAAGAGTCCGGCACTTAACTGACTCCGTCACCCAGGTGCCCCAGAAGTGTTAAAATCTTTAAATGCTTGTTAAGCTCTTTCAAGATTTCTTTCTTGCTCTTCTGGCCTGTGTGTTTCATTGTTAGAAGTAAGCTTTTAATTAGATCGCTATTTCCTTGTAGGCAGTTTGTTGTCTTACTTGTTGATTTCAGTATTTGGTGTTTGACTTTAAACAGTTTAACTCAATGTGTCTCTATGTAGGCTTCTCTGGTGTTTATTTTGCACTTTCATTGTTCAGCGTCTTGCATCTTTAAATTTCAGATATATTCTACTATTGTTTCTTCAAGTATTTGTTTCCTCCAGGCATTCTCTTTTCTCTTGGCTTTTCCATTTCCATTGACTATCTGATATTATCTAACAAGTCCCTGAGTTGGTGTCTTTTTTTTTTTTTTCTCATATTTTTCCCACTGTTTTTCACTCTGGATAATTTTTACCTCGCCATCTTTAAGTTCACTTACTCTTTTCTATGTCATATTTATTTAGCTAAGTTAATCCATTAAATTTTTATTTAAAACATTACTTTTGTTGCTACTAGAATTTCCATCTGGTTCTGTATTATAATTTCTATTTTTCTACTGAGACTTCTCATATCAATACCAAGATTTTCACGCATTGAAAACATGCCATATTTCACCTCATTAAGGATAGTTTATAATAGCTGCTCTTAAATTTTTGTTGCAACATCTAGTTTATCTTGGGTTGCACTTGACTGATTATCTTCTCTCTTTAGAATGTGCTCTATTTTCTTAGTTCTTCACATGTTGGGTAATTTCAGATTGTATCATAGACATCATTAATTGTTAAATCTGATACCAGATTCTGTTATTTTTCTGTGATAAGTATTTTTCTGTGATAAATATTTTTAACAAGTACTTTTGTTTTGTTTTTGTCTCATTTTGTTTTTCTTCCTTGTTTTCATTTGTTTTTTCTAGCAAGTAGTTTTTATATCTGAGATTGAACAGTTCCAGAGGTGTTTTTCTCTGACTCTTTCCCAATCAGGATTGCCTACCCTCTTCAGTGCACATGAGTTGCTGGCTTCTCTTCTTGTTTAGCAGACAGGAAGACTAATATTTCCATGTACACTCTTGCCTCTATTATGTGTTCTGTGGACTCCAGTTAGCCTCGAGGTGAAATTGCAGATAGATAAACTAAATTTCTCATCACCCCACCTCCAAGAAAGTTCTACTCCACCAAAACCTGCCTGCTTACATTATATATTCAGGGTAGCAACATTCACAACAGCAACATTTTTCACTGCTGAAGTTTTTTTCTGTTTGAGTTGCTGTGGTTCCAGTCCATGCATGCAAAGTTTAGATATGACTCAGTGATGTGAGTAACACAAAGTTTTGAGATTCTGGCTCCAGCTCCTTCCTTTCTGGGATTTTCGTTACTCTCTTCAATGTTCATAGTGTCCAGGTTTGGTTGTCCTGGCTCCTCGGGCAGAAAATTTTTGAGATTTCCCATGTGCATTCCCTGCTGGTTGCCCAAAGGACTAATCGTAGCTCCTCAAAGATGGTAATTATTGGTACAGCTCTCGGCCTTTCTTCTCCTAGTAAGCGTGGATTTTCTGACAATATATCTGCTCTGTTCACTGCTCAGTTTCTGTAGGGAGCTCTTTTTGTCCTGGTTTTATAGTTAACTATCTGCAAGGTGGTTTGTCTAGTTGGATCTAGGTCTGGCATACTCAGATGTGAAGAAATTCCAGTGGATTTGAATAGAGTATGATCATTTTCAGTGATATTTCTTCAATGATTTCCTTCTCCAATTTTTCTTTCTCTGTTTCTAGACTTATTAATAAAACTGACCATTCCTAGTTAGATTTTCTATGGTTCATTTTTTCTCTCAGAACATTTTTGTCAGTTTTGTTTTGTTTTTTGTTTTGTTTTGTTTTGTTTTGTTTTTTGCAATAGAGTTTGGGGATCTTCTCAATTGTACTTTGAAACCCTTTTGTTTTTTATTTTGACCCTTATTGTTTTAAAATTCTTGTTCTTCCATTGTTTCTTTTTTCATACATCCTGATTTTATTTATGAATGAAATGTCTTCTTGACTCTCCTTGGTCATACTAATTAGTGTATATAAAACTTTATTTTTCTAAATTATCTGGTTTAAATTTTGGTTAGATTGTCTATTTATTTTGGTCATTCTCTTTCTGCTACAAGATGTCTTTCTTGATTTTCCACTCATGTTTTAAATTGAGGCACTAAAAGAGCTGACTGTGATCTTTGTAAACATGGGAAGCATTTGACCAGTGGTTGGCATTTAGCTATTATTTAGTGAACAGAGGGGAAACCAATGGCAAATATGTCTACTACCCACACTAACTGTTATAGTCTCCTTTGGTTTGTTAGCTTCAGAGAAGAGTCTTCTAATTTTTTATTTTTATTATTTTTTTTGTAGAGAGTAAATTTGAATCTTCTTGTATTCTGTACACCAGGGTAGTTGAGTGGGTGAGGGTTGTTTAGATATAGACGGTCAGTTTTGTTTAGACAAACATTTAATTATCTTCTTATTTCCACCCTTATTTCTCATGCTTGTTCATTTGTTCTTTCTGATGATTTCAAGACTGGAGCTTCCCAGATTCTTTTCAAATTTTCTCATCTTTTGATACAGCCCTGCTGTGGCCCTGTTGTGGCTTCTTATATATCGTGCATAACTGTATTCATCTTCTAGAAATTTGTTGCATTTTCTCTTATGTTCACAATCACCTTATTAATTTACTGCTTATACATTTTTTATTCCTTCAGCTATTATGTTCAAAGCTTTTTCCTTCTTCCTTCGAAGGCCTCTTTCCTCATTTTCTTCCTTCCTTCCTTCCTTCCTTCCTTCCTTCCTTCCTTCCTTCCTTCCTTCCTTCCTTCCTTCCCTCCTTCCTTTCTCTCTCTTTCTCTCTCCCTCTTTCTTTCCCTCCTTCCATCCTCTCTACCCTACTTCCTTCCTTTCCTTATTTGTGACAAGGTGAGGCAAACATCATTCTCAATTGGCCATTTTGAACTTTAGAATTTTTGAATATTGAGCAATATACTCATTTCCTCAGTGTTTTCCTTTCTCTACAAATTGATGAATATAAGTTCAATTAAATAAAATAATTCTCATTAAAATGTTTTCTAATAAAAAAGCTTATATTGTTATTTTAACAAATACTCAAGTATTCAAATTTTAATAGTATTTATTATATTTACTTATAAAAGTTCTTTATGATTATTATTCAAAATACCGAAAATTAACAATGATAATGTCATCACTCAAAATCTTTTTTTTCTAAATTTTATTTATTCATTTTGAGAAAGAGAGAGAGTGCAGAAGTAGGGGAGGGGCAGAGAGAGAGGGAAAGAGAGAATCCCAATCAGACTCTACACTGTCAGTGCACAGCTCAATGCAGGGCTGGATCTCAGAAACTCGGAGATCATGACCTGAGCCGACATCCAGAGCCAGATGCTTACCCAACTGAGCCACTCAGGCTCCTATATTCAATCAAAATCTTATCTTTCAAAGGCTAATAGTGTGCTCGTAAGTGAAATGGTATCACAGTGCACATGTGCTGTTGGAGCACTGACATAGAAATAAACACACTGGCCTTTCCAAAATTAACACTCAATATTGCATTACAGGGAAAGAAGAGTATCTAACTCAATGGGTTTATTTACAGATTCGGCAGAATAAATATCATTGCCCTGCAAAGAAGTATATTAGAGAGCCAAATGAGACAGAGAGAGAGAGAGAGAGAGAGAGAGAGAAAGAGAGAGCGCACTGGTATTTGTGGGACAATTTCTTTAAAAGTTATTTCTCTGGACTGTGTTTCCTCATTCTTTTTATTTCTGGGAAATATCTTTATATATGAACCCATAATAGGAACATACTTGAAAACAGATCAGACTAGAGCCTTTAAGAAAATTTGAGAAATTTGTTAGCATTCTTCTCCTATAAAGGAAAAAAAAATCTAATTTTTCTCTGTGTATACACAGAGAACTTGGCTTTATAAGTTATTCCAAATACCTGCAATTTTTGCTTAAGGAAAATCTTTAATCACAGATCTTTCATCACAGTGCATGTCTAAACAACGGGCAAAGTAATGAAAAGTACCGGATCTCAATTTGGTTAAGTTCGTGATATTATTAATCTTGGTGATGTTACTAGAATTGGATAATGCCCCAAATTGCTACTCTTTTGAAAGCAAACACTATATTGTTATTTTAATAAAAATTGCTGAGGTCGGAGCTGTGTCTACAGCTAAATGTTACAACTCCATATATTCATATGAGGTGTAATTTAAAAACTCATTTCTTGGGGTGCCTGGGTGGCTCAGTCGGGTTAAACGTCCAGCTTCGGCTCAGGTCATGATCTCACCACTGTGGGTTCAAGCCCCACCTCAGGCTCTGTGCTGACAGCTCATAACCTGGAGCCTGCTTGGGATTCTGTGTCTCCCTCTCTCTCTGCTCCTCCCCTGCTCACACTCTGTCTCTGTCTCTCTCAAAAATTAATAAAAATTTAAAAAATTCATTTCTTATCTTGCTATTTAATTTTTGTAAGTATATACTTTATTTCTAATCAGACCAAATAAGTACTAATTGATAAATTAATTGTCTTTTTTTTCGTAATTTTTCACTTTTCTTTCTGTAACATACAGGCTATTTACTAAGACTTTTTTTTCAAAAACATTCCTCTTGATTCCATAGCGTATGTACAACTGGGACTCGCCTTAGTCTCTGACCTCCTAAGTCTCTTTCTTTGGTTTTTCCTTTGACCAGGTGTGCTTCTAAGACCCATCATTTCTCTCTTTGTTTCCCCTCCTTATTGAGCAAAAGACAATCATGAGATTGTCGACATGGATGCGACTACCACTGACACATACATGGTTTATGAACACATATTTCCAGACGACACTATGTTGAATTCTAGGAACGTATTTTAAAATATTACTGTGTTTCCACAATTCAGCATAGTTGTAATTGAACTCAGCACTGACTCTTCTCTTTTTGTCTTTTGTTTTGAACAATAGTATCACTATTCATTCTCACCTAGATCAGAAGTCTTCTTCATTAAGTTCCTCCTAGCCTGCACATTGTAATCTAATCAGAATTCAAAACCTGTTGGTTTCACTGCTGAAATGCATCTTCAGGTAGTTGCCAAACTGTCTATTTTCATAGCAGCTCCCCTTATTCAGGTTTCGTAATTGTTGTCTGTAACTTCCTTTGTGGGTTTTTGTTTTGTTTTGTTTTGTTTTGCTGCAGTTTATCCTTTTTTTCTGAGAATACAGATCTGATCACGTTCAACAAGCCTATGCTTCTCCAAAAATCTTCATGGCTTTGTGGCTTACACAAAAATTCTAAAGTGTTAATAATCAATTCTATTTATTTTTGTGTTTTAGATTTTCTTTCCTCACTCACACTAAGCAAAAACATCATCACCTTGACCAATACTGTGAAATAAACATTTGGGATTTTCTCACAAAGCTTTCTTTATCTGAATGGATCTTCCTCATCTAGGTAAAACTCTACCAATACTTCTAGACCCAATTCAAATTCACACTTTGTCAATTCTTCCATTGAGTTGTAAATTAGCTCCTGTCTTGATTATATTAGCATATACTATTATATACTATCATACATAGGTGGCTGCACACAATGTTTTAAATGTTTAATTTTGAGAGAGAGCAAGTGGGAGGAGGGCAGAGAGAGAGGGAGACACAGAATCCTAAGCAAACTCCGTGTGATCAGCGCAGAGCCCAACATCAGGCTCCAACTCACAAACTGTGAGATCACGACCTGAGCTAAAATCAAGATTGGGACTCTTAACCAACTGAGCCACCCAGGTGCCCCTGCACACAACTACTTTGCCAGCATTAGACCCTTAGATCATTTGGACAAGAACTCTATTGTTTAATATTTGTATTCGTTACAAAGTCTGTCATGTTAGCTTCCCAATGCATCAATTGTTAAAGCTACTGCTATTTAAATTTGTAACTATCTTGACCTTTGAGAATATGAGTCAAATAAGTATGAAAAATAGAATAAACTGATACAGTTTGCTTTCTTTTTTGACACTAGATCTCTAAACATAAAGAGAATATGTGGTTCTCTAAGCATTACAACACAGTGACAGAGATGTGACTCATCCATCAGACTATCTGCTGCTATTTCTCATAGAAGGCAAATGCAATGAACTGGGGAGATACTTTTGTGAAAATAAATACGATTTATATTTCTCTTGTTCATTTTCAGATTAATATATTATTTGTATATGTATTAAAATTCAACAGAAGTAAGTATACAGTTTGATGAATTTTGGTGATTTGTACAACTTAACTATATCCACAATAAAGGTATAGGACAGTTTCCTTGCCCTACAAAGTTTCCCTCTCCCTTGGCACTTGGTACCCTTTCTCTACTCTTGACTCCAGGTGAGAACTTATCTTCTTTCTCTCTTTTTTAAAGTTTTATTTATTTATTTTGAGAGAGGGAGAAAGAGAGAGAGGGAGAGGGAGAGAGAACATGCCAGGTGGTGAGAGCCAGAGGGAAAGGGAGAGGGAAAGAATCCCTGGCAGGCTCCACAATGTTAGTGAAGATACCAACACAGTGCTTGAACTCTTGAACGGTGACATCATGACCTGAACCAAAGCCAAGAGTGAGATGCTTAACCGACTAAGCCACACAGGTGCCCCTATCTTCTTTCTTTTGAAATAGCTTTGCCTTTCCTAGAATTTCATATCAGTGTAGTTATTTAACATTTAATCTTTTACATTTGGCTTATTTCACTTAGCATCAAGTTTGTGAAATTTAACCATGTTTTTTACCTGTATTAATATTATATTCTTTTTTGTTTTTGAATATCATTCCATGTTAAGGATATACCACAGTTTGCTCATTCACAAGTCAGTAATCATTTGGTTATTTCCAATTTCTAGTAATTATGAATAATGATGCTTGGGCTATTCACATGCATGGTTTTAGTGTGGACATATGCTTTCTTTTTTGTTGAATAAATACTCAGAAGATGAATTTCTGAGTTATAGGGGAAATTCGTACTTAACTACACAAGATACTGACACACTGTTTTTCAAGGTGGCTCTCTTATTTTACATTCCAACAGAAACATGCATGAGAACCAATTATTTCACATCCTCTCCAACCACCGCTTCATCTTTAGCCAATCTAGGTAGGTGTGTATTGTTATTTCATTGTGGTTTCAATTTGTATAGTCAGCGCTTTGATGATTGATGTTAATAATCTTTTCCTGTGCTCGTTGGCCATTTTGTAAACAGATCCATTGAAGTATAATTCATATGCCATATAATTCACTTATTTAAAGAAGAATCCCCTGTGAATTTTAGTAAATTCACAGAATTATGCCTAATTTTAGAATACTATCATCCTCTCCAGAAGAACCCCATACCAATTAGTAGTCACACCCTAGTCTCCCTAAACACATACACACACCCCTGCCCTTGAGCAAGCACTACTTTCTTTCCTCATAGACTTGCCAAATCTTGACATTGTCTATAAGTAAAAGCATATAGTATGTGATCCTTTGTGACTGGCTTCTTTCGTTTAGCATAGTGTTTTCAGAGGTACATTTGTGTTGCATCATATATTAATAATTTCATTTCTTTTTATCGCAGAATAATATTCCAAGATTAGAACATACGACACTCTATTTATTCCTCACTTGATACACATTTTAATTTTATCCTTTGACTAATAAGTCTGTTATAAACATTTTCATACAAGGTTTTCTGTGAACATAGAAGGTCTTGTGAAGAAAAGGTCTTCATCTTTTGGGTATTATATTTAGGAGTGAAATTGCTGTATCATATAATAAATCTATGTTTAATATTTTGAGCAACTATCAAATCATTTTCTGAAGCAGCAGCACCATTGTACATTTCCAACAGCAAAATACCAATGTTTCTATTTTTCTGTATGCTCACCAACAGCTATTATTTTATTTCTGCCTTTGCTTACAGTCAATGTAATGAGTGCAAAGTATCTCATCATTTAGATTTGCGTTTCCCTGATAATTATTGATATTAACATCTTTTCATGAACATATAGCCTTTTTATATGCTTTCTTCAGAGAAATTTTTATTCTAATTTTTGCCCATTTTTAATTCAGATGTTTGCTTTTTGTTATTGCATTGTAAGAGTTCTTCATAAATTCCAGATACAATTCTCTTAGCAGATCTACAACTTGCAAGAATTTTCTGCAAATCTATGGATTGTCTTCTCATATTCTTTTCAAATTGTTTTTCAAACTTCAAAAGGAAAAAAAGAATGAAAATGAGTTAAGAAAGCCAACAGGACTAATGCGATACCATCAACAGAAACAATATAGACATTATGCTGATCTCAAAAAGAGAAGAGAAAGGGGCGTAAAGTCTATTTAAAGCAGTAATTGATGAAAATTTATAAAACATAATGAAAGAAATGGACACCCAGATTCATTAGGGCCCAAAGCCCCAAATAGGTGGAAACTGGAAAGAGATACACCAAGGCACATAATAATTAATTGGAAAAAGGCAAAGGTAGAGAATTTGAAAGTGACACCAGAAAATTGACTCATCACGTACAAAAGAACACCCATAAGACTGTAAGCTAATTTCTCAACAAAAATTTTTCAGGCCAAGACAGGCTGAGACGGTACAATAGACTTTCAAATGCCTGCCCAAAATAGCTAATAGCATCAAACCCAATGTTACCATCTTAATGATAGCACTTCCTCTTTTAACTTTCTTGTCAGTATCATTTGCAGAAAAAAAAAAAGTTTTTACTTTTGATGTCATCCAAATTATCTCCTTTTTCTTTGTCACGTATGCTTTTGGTGCCATCTTTAAGAAACAATTTCCTGCCATGAAGTCACAAAATTTTATGAGTTTTACAGAATTAGATCTTACATTTAGGCCTCTGATCCATTCTAAATTAATATTTTGTATAATGTGACGTACTTTAGCCAACATGGCTTTTTGCATGAGAATGTTCAAGCACCATTTATTGAAAAGGATATTTTCTCATCTCTTATCTTCTTGGCACCCTTATAAAATATATTGTTAACTGCATAGGTTCATTTCTGTACTCTCCGTTCCATTCTTCTATACTTGCAGCACAGTATTAATTACTGTAAGTTTTGATTTATGTTAGTTTTGAAATTATAAAGTATTAGTCCATCAAACATCCCTTTATTAAAATAATTTTGACTTTTGAAGGCCATGCATGAGGTTTGAGATCTCCTTATCAATTATTACAGAAATAAAGCAACTGGATTTTTTATGAGGATTCCATTAAATATCTACATGAATTTGGGGCTATTTGCTTCTTATTGCTATCACATCTTCTGACTTATGAACATAGGATGTCTTTCCATTAATTAGGAAAGACATCTTTTTTAATTAGGTCTTTTAAGATTTATTTCAACAATATTTTATATGTTTTAGTGTTCAAGTCTTTCTTTTTGCTAATGTATTCATTTTTTATGCTATTACAAATGAAATTATTTTTGTAATTTCATTTTTGCATTTTTATTTTTGTTGTTCACTATTAGTACATAACACTAACAATGTTTTTTTATATTGATTTTGTATATTGATTGTGTGTCCAAAAATTTTGCTATATTCATTTACTGGTTCTAAAAAGTTTAGTGGGCTCCTTAGGATTAAAAACGATTTTATCTTCTTTTGAAATCTGGATGCCTTTTATTTCTTTTTCTGGTGTAATTGTCCTGGCTTACGCCTCTAGCCAACATTGGATAGAAATTATTAGAGCAGACATATATCCTTATTTTTTTCTGATCTTAATAGAAAATCATTCTGTCTCTTGATACTCAATATGATTTTAGTTATAAGTTTGTATGGATATCTTTTATCAGACTGAAGATATTTTTCTATATCTGATTTTTTGAGTGTTTTTGTCATGAAAGGCTTTTAGATTCTATCAATTTTTTTAGTCAATTTTAATCACCATGTAGATTTGCCTTTGATTCTATTATGTAATGCATTACATTAATCAATTATTGGTGTTAATCCAACTTTGCATTCCTAAGATAAAACCTATTTGATCAAAGTGTATCATCAGATTTAATATGTTGCTGAATTTATTTGCTAATATTTTGTTGAAAGTTTGAATTTTTTGTTTTTTTGTTTTGTTTTGTTTGTTTTTTTGCATCTATGCTCATGGGAAATACTGATTTGTAGCTTTCCTTTCTTACGATACTCTATGGTTTTGTTGTTAGGATATTATCAGCCCCATAAAATGAGTCAAGACATGTTCTTTCTGCTTGTAGATTCTCCAAGAGATTGTAGAGAATCAATACCATTTCTTTTTGAAATGTTTGGTAGAATTCACCACTGCAACCATTAAGGCCTAGAGATTTCCTTTTGGAAAGTAATTGATTATTGATTAAATTTCTTTAATATGTATGATCTTATTTAGATGGTTTATGTTAAGCTTTAGTATTTCAAGGTATTGGTCCATTGCATCTAAATGATCAAATATTAAGGTATAGAGTTGTTCATAGTATTCTTTTGTTATACTTTTTTATGCCTCTGGGATCAACAGTGTTGGCCTTTATTTCATTTCTTATATTGGTAATTGGTGTTGTTGTTTTTTCTTGCTTAGTCTAGTTGAAGGTTTATCTAGTTTACTGATCTTTAAAAAAATAGCTTCCATTTTTTATTTTCTTTACTTTTTAAATTGATTTCTATTTCATTGATTTCTCCTCTATTTTTACTATTTATTTTCTTATGCATGCCTTTAGGTTTAAGTTGTTCTTCTTTCTCTTATTTTCAAAGTAAGACCCTCAGGTTATTGATTTTAGAGCTTTACTTTTTCAAACATCTGCATTCAATGTTATACATTTCCCTCTAAGAACTGCTTTTGTTGCTTCTTATATATTTTGATAAGTTGTATTATTATTTTCATTTACTTCAAAGTATTTTTAAATTTCTCCTGAGACTTCTTCCTTGCTCCATGCATTATTTACAAAGGTGTTGTTAAATATCCAAATATTGGCAGATTTTCCAACTATCTTTCTGTTGCTGATTTCTAATTTAATTATTTGTGGTTTGAAAAATAACACTTTGTATAATATCTATGCTTTTAATTTTGTGAAGATGTGTCTCATAGCTTGGGATATTGTTCATCTTGGTGAATCTTCCAGCAAATGAGAGGAATACTGTATTGTGTTGTTTTATGGATTATTCCATGAATACCATTTAGATTATGTTGCGTGACAGTGCTATTTGGATCAATTATGCTTAAT